AGCTCCCTTGGCTCGTAAAAAAAAGTACAGATTCCTTAGTTCATGTCATGGTTATACAATTGAATTTTTGTTCATTTCATGGTTATACAACTTCTTTTTGTTGTCCTCCATTCATAGGGCATTTTGATCCTTTGTACTTTCCTCTATTTCCCTACTATTGTTTCTTTCCCTTTCTTAGTTCTCTCTTCTTCCGGATTAATAGACAAAACTCCTAACTTGGTAGAACAATCACCCCCCTTTTCATTTAGTAACATAGTCACGTGATAAGGTCATGTTTATTTTTTTTGGGAAAATTCTCCGTACGCCCTGTTTTGCAATTCAAGGTTTCAAAACCGTGGTTTTCTTTACCTCTTTAGAGGTCAATGTACCTTCTCACTTTAGGAGAGGTAAAATCAGTGTGGATTGAACCAATGCGGTGTTGGAATAATCAACAGCATAACTAATCAACCTGTGCCTGGATCCCAATTATTGAGCAGGTCAGCTGGCTTTGGCTTTTGGGGACAAACTTTAGGGGTGAACCCTTGACCTCCGTCTACCATTAGGTTAAAGTCTGAGGAACATTGTTCAAACTTAGTATACATTAATGCACATGCACTATCAGCTAGAATTTTGTAATCCATTCTCTTTAGAGCAAAGGTCAAACATGAAAGTTCCAGATCTAAAGAATGGTCAAATAGGGTCAGTTACATGCATGCTATTATGATTTTAAAAAAAGTTTGTTGACAATGTTATCATACTTGAAATATTAAACAGCATTAAGTTTCAACAGTATTACCTTATTGCATCGCATTTCCTTTTTGCATGTCAAACGTTGGTAATTTATTATGATTTCATATGTGAAATAAACTTACAACATATGATTATTTATTTGAATTCCAACTTAGGATACATAAGTCTGCATATGATCACGCATTTCACATGTCATTCGTGAGTACATATGCTCCATTACAGTCCAATTTTCATATTCGACACTGACACAATGCATGAAATTTATGATGCAAAATAACTTCAAAACAGTTACCATATCTGGGTCAAACAATTTGAAAGAAAGAAAACTAATATCATAAAGGAAGGAAAGTTTCTCCAAGCCTAGACCAAAGGGTCCGGCACTTGTCTAATGGAACATAATCTTCAATCAAATGACCCAGTTTAATGAGAAGGGGTCATTTCAGGTATCTATACAAGCTTGTGAAGAGGGAAGAGCGTTCTTTGCTCAAAGGAATTCTAAGAATCAGGCTTCCATGATGATGATAACAAAGAGAACAATTTACAAAAATCGAAGCCACCAAGAACATTAACATTGAAATTGGTAATGTTTTTTCCACAAGAATGGTAATGATTAGCGAAGATGAAGGAAACTCACGAAATCAAGCAACTTTTCTCATTGTCGAAGAGCCAGTGTCAATTGATATGCTTGCGATTTCATGGACATCACGTTCAACTCCATCATTGAAATGGTCTCTAAGAAACTCAACTGCCATGAAAGTAAGAGCGGAAGCAGGCACATACCATATGATTCGAGGCACGCTTCCCCTAAAGAAACCCTTTGCTCCTTCCATTAACCATATCCTCCTCACTGCATCCGACCAACCCTTGTACCTAACAAACAGTCAAAAAAAAATCCAAAATCTAAATAATTCTTAACAGTAACAATAGTAGTCATCAGAAAAAAAACATTGAAACAAATAATAAAAATTTGTCTAACAGGTAAGCGATTGAGACTTCTTTGCCCAAATCTTATAATTATCCAAACTATATGTTAGAGTTACTATAAAAAAAATAAAACATTTATGTATCATTGGATAGTATAGAAACTACTTTCATGGATTACATAAGACAACTTCCATTATTTAGGCCACATTAGGAATGCCATTATATGGTGACTTCCATAATTTTTTTGCGGAGCCGCTAATGGTGGTCCATCAGAAAATGCAACAATCCCCAGTTTTCCTTGGTGGTAACTTTTTTATTCAAAACTAGTAATAGTTAAAGCTGTAAGACACTGGAAAGTTTGGTCAATTATATGGGCAATTGTCTGTGAAGGATATTTTATACTATTCACCAAACTTTAGGACTAAATGGAATAACCAAAAATGGTACCTAACTGGAGAAGATCCCTGAACTTGCAGCCTGGTCTTGATGACATCTAATGGAGTTGTGAGGTATGCACTGACGCCTGCCAAAGACATTTAAGGGAAATTAAAGGCTAGAGACGGAATAGACTTGGTCAAACCCAGTCTATCCAAGGTAATCCAGAAAAATATTGAATGTGTGCATAAATTAAAACTTAGCAATACAAGCATTGTGTGTGTGCGCACGTGTGTGTGTAAGAGAAAGCTTACCACCAGCTAATCCACCCAGTATGAGACCCTCAATGGAATTATAGCTATAAGAAGTTGGATAAAGCAACCATCTCTTTTTCGAATACTCTGCGAAATCCTTCAAGGCCTCATAAAACATAACCTGCATTTATATGTACTCTCCAGATCAAAATGTCAACATTCAGAGCAAAACACAGAATAAGTTGAAGGCTAGGCATCCCCAGATAAATGTAAACATATCACATTAAAATTAAGTTCCGATAATGGAAAAGGATTGAAATGGTCTTCTCTAAACTGGAAAACATAGAGATGATTGCATTGTAAAAATTGAGTTCCACAAAGTACGTACGACAAAGGGTATTTTATAAAAGGGTGTGGTTTCTATAAGGCTGAGGCCCTAACCAATCAAAGTAAGGCGCATGTTCAAATAGTGCCAAAACATGTCGTTTCCATATAAGAAATCTTTGTAATGACCTGAAATTTTATTTTTATATCTAATTATAATATTTAAAGATTAAAAAATAGTGTAGATCAAGCAGATCTATGAACACTTGAAAATCTTAGAAATTGACGGTCTAGACAATATACTACAAGATGCACTATTTCCAAGACTTGAAATCTACTTTTTCTCATGTCTATACATCTTGAGGCCGAGATGATCGAATGGAGGGATTCTTAGCATCGAAACAACATCTTCTAGTGATTTTTTGAGGTGCGCCTTAAATTGATTGTTTAGAGCTTCACCCTAATATAAGCTTTTTCCTTTATAAAATAAAGAGCAATAGTCCAAAGGTCCCTATGGCAGTTTAGTGAACAGGGTATGGTTTGTCATGCCTTGTACTATCAAGAGGGCATTCCAAACTTTTTTCTTCTTTTTTTTTGTATTGGTGTGAGGACAATCAAATCTCAAATTCTCTTGCATCCAATGGGACTCCCAAACAACACCTTCCTGGATCTGTTTACTCTATAAGGTGGTCAAACTTTGAAGGATCTAATCCAGTTCTTATCCAAGCAAGAAACACGTACAAACTCATGTGGAGAAAGTAAAGCATACACATCCTGAGTATGGTATAACAACAACCACCATGGATGGAGATAAATAATAGTTCTGATGATGAACATTCACCTTGGAACTACTTTCATTTTCACTGACAGTCTTAATGACAAGCAGTCACACACCACTTGTGTATTGTATACCATACGGGAATCTATATGCCATACTTAACCTTTTCAAGTGTATGAAGTATGAGCAGCTAGAACTCCCATACAAGATTATTAGTTAAAAAGCAAAGTAAAAAAAAAAAAGAGAGTTAATGTTGTGATAATGTAGCTTTGTGAGGAAGAATACCATTAGACCTGCAAAGGGCACATCTCTAACAAGTGTAGACCCATATCTGTTAAACCAAACCAAAATAGATTAAAAATGTGAATGACTTATGTCCCACATGTATTTTGCACATAATGAATTATAGAGATCCACATATGTAAGAATAATTTATCCATGCATACATGACACAAAAGACTCAAATGAACTTAGATTATCACCACTATTGGAACGTGACTAGTAAAATCCAAGACTAAACAAATCCAGATCCACTAAAATAGACGAAAAATGACGTAGAATGTATAGACCATGGATGCCAACAAAATAGCAACTGGAGCAGCCAAAGAAATGCATTATAATTGATGAGAAAGCCAATGGCAACATACAGCCAAGAATATAACAAACAAAAAATGAATTGCATCCTATAAGAGTGCAAAGTCTTCATATAGCAGTCTTCTTTCCTTAATAAGCAGCATCGGTTAAGAATGATAGTATGCATTCATGAGTATCAAGATGTGGTGGCAAGAGTATGAAAAATATGTAGCAAAAAGACCCAAGAACCCTCCAATTCAAAGTCAAGCCCAGAGAAAAATAAGTACTTAACATATAGCATTCTACAAAAGATATACCACAATCCAATGGAACACAATATGTAGCATTCCAAAGGGTAAATCCAATCCAACCTATTCTCGTAATGAACAAAAGTGGAGATTTTGTTTTTTTTTTGTTTTTTACTTATCAGAAGGTGGAGATTTATTGTACTGGGGCCTACCAGAATGGGCAGTAAAATGCAATTCGGGTCACTGCCTACTGCCATTCGGGCCACTACCTTCTGTACACCATTGGATTATAGTATTCTTCCCAAAATAAATTTAAGAGAAAAGTATTGTGCACGTCTAAATTGGTCCCCACAAGAAGAGATATATAAATACCCAGCATACAATCCCCTTAATCCTTGCTGCTTCCTAATGGAACACGCTGCCTGAAACATTCCAGAATAGTATCCATACATCTGCTCCCCAGATTTGTGACAGATATTTTCCTTAGCAAGAACAGCACTCCAAGATTTTCTTGTGCCTTGGACCTGCATACGCTGTTTCATCACTTCGCATGGCACATATACAAAAGACCCAAGAGTGTCTCCTGAAGAATAACGAACAGCAAATAAAAAGCTTACGACAAAGCCATGCATAAATAGAGCGACATATTCAGTTCAAGATATTTAGAAAAATAAAATTCAGTTCAAGATATTCAGTTCAAGATATTTAGAAGTGATAAGATATTAAGATATTCACTTCTATATGTTTTTTTTTTTGATAAAGTTAACTTTGTATTACTGAGAAAAGATAAATTACAGAGATAAGATGATCGGCATCTCTCAGTAAAAAATGAATCAACCAGCCATGTACAAAAATGGGCTTATAGAACCCGCCCGATTACAAAGATATACAAGGATATTCACCTTCTAGATGTTAAAAGAGAACAAATCAAAAGAGATGCTCAAATGCAAATGGAACTTCTTAGTGTTGCGTCATTTAGAGAAGAAAATTGGATCAGTAGGAACAACATTTACACTTATGGTGCAATTATCAAGAATAGCTGACCCCAAATAGTTGGTATAAGGTTTGGATGATGATAATGATGATGGTGCAAATCTCAAGTATCTATGACGAGCATGTCATCATTCAAAAGGAGTATTAAGGAAATATTTAAGAAGGTCACATGCACTTGCTAGAAACAGGAGCATAGAGCTAGCCTAGTCTTCACAAGGGGTTGAGCTTGGGAAGTGTCTTGTTTAGTTAATGTAGGGCTGACAGAGAAGAGACCAGTGGCAATCAGATAATTCTTTTAGTAAGTAGGATGACTGCTTTTTTTTTTAAACTGTACTGTATTGTATTAAAGGAGAATTACAGAGTGGGGGGGGGAGAGAGGGGCTAGAGACCTCCCACTAGACGGGGGTTCTATACTAAAAAATGGGCCAACCACAGAGTGGAGTACAAAAAATGAGGATAACCCCTTACATATGCACAGGAATACTTAAACCTGTTTTTACTTATACTTTACTTAGAAAGACTATTTAAGTAATACGGATAAGGAGGTAAGATCCTAGGTTATCTTAGAGGGCCATTCCAGGATCACGCATATAGCTATGAAATTTGCAAATATTGGCGGTGACTTGTAACGGTAGATAGAGATTAATAGATGGGAAGATGGGGAAGCAGCATGCGATTATACTATAAAGGACAGAGAAAATAGTTGAGGGTATTGGATTTCCTCTGATGGAAGGCTCAAGGCAATAGAAATGTTTCTTTTCTTTTTGTGAATAGTGGGAAACATGGATGGAGTATGAAGATAGTTTGCAGGGAAGTAAGGAAAACATAGAAAGGATGGAAAGTCACACGACAAGTGAGAGGCAGCCCAAGAAGCAACGGTTTACTAGTTGCAAAAATCATCTAGACTATAGGATAATCAATTTTCATAACGATGGTGATTCACTTGCTACCATAGAAAGTTGAGAAATAACAATATATTGGCTAACAAAAATACTGGTCTAAAGTCAGTTTCGGTCCAAAAATTTGGCTGCGAAAAATAGGGTGACAAAATATGGATGACCAAAAATTTGGTAAAAGTACCGTGAGTATTTCAGATTTCGTTCAAAAAAAAACAAAGAGAGATATAAAGTTTGAGATGTATAGGTGTTATAAAAAAAAAAAGATGTTATTTTATAGATGTCATGAAATATGATTACAAAATTTGCAATAGCAATCCACAATTAATCGATAAAAATTATACTGAACTAATAAAATTAACTAAATTACTTTATGTCTCATCCCATGAACCAAAATTGATTACAAAACAAGGCAAACCTAAATATTATGAGGCATAGTAGAGTCATCAAAATTAAAAGAAAGGTAAAGAGCTATGGAGGGCCGGCATGTCCTCACAGTCATATAGCCACATGTTATCATGATCAACATTATTTGTGGCCGTAACTCTAGCTCTCTTTTTATTTTTTATAAAATATGCTTTTTTTAGGGACTATGTCCCAATTAGGGGGAATAAGTTGCTGAGTATTTTTTTTTTTTAAAAACCATGGGTACCAGGATCAAGAGTGAGATTAGATGCCGGATTGAGAACGGGACCATGGTATTGATAAATGCATGAAGATCCATGGGATAGGAATCAAGATCCGTACAACATTAGTTAAAAGGGATCGTGATCCCATTATGAAAGGGGTACATACAAATTTATCCAGGATCGAATGACAAAGTACATGGGATTGAAGTCCGTCTAGCTTAGAATCAAGGCTCCCAAGATAGAGTACTCTAGCTTTGGAGCGAAGTCCTTTAAATGATATGGTTAATTTTTTTCTGAATTCAAAAACTAAAGTATCATTAAAGGGAAATGTTTATATAGAGCCGAGGCTCTAAACAATCAAATTAGAGCCCACCTCAAAAATTTCCCTAAAAGAGGTTGTTTTGCTGCCCAAATATCCTCAAATTGATCATCTCCACATCAAGATGCATGAACATGAGAAAAAAATGGATTTCAAGTTTAGAATAGTGCATCTTGTAACGCATTTTTGAACCGTCAATTTTCAAGATTTTCAAACTTTCATAGATCTGCTCAATCTGCAATATTTTTGAAGCTCTAAATTTTATAAATAAAGATGAAAATATATTTAAAGCTGTCACAAAGATTCCCAATATTGAAACCACATTTCTCGACATTATTTGAAGGTGGGCTTTACTTTGATTGCTTAGAGCCTCAGCTTTATACAAACCGCACCAATCATTAAATACAAAGAATCTTGTTCTATTTTTTTTTTTTTTTATATTATTGGAGTGAGTATCATAAGTGAAGTGAAATTGAAACCCCAAAATGAGGATTCAAATTTCAGTCCTCTGGGATAATAGAAGCTCCAGAGTATGATGGAAATGTAGTGTGCTTGTTTTCCCTGGTTTGGGTCCTTTGGCTTAGATGCGATTAGGCATGCAACTGATCAAACACCGTCTAAATTAAAAAGGAAAAAAGGGGTCCAAAGGCAAAGAAAGGGTCAACCTGCAAAGCGGATATAGTAAATGAGAGGGCATTAGAGATAAAGATCAATTGCATAATGCTTATGGAGCTTCCAATAAGTGAAATGAAAAGAATTTAAGTTAGGACATAGCACAACTTTAGCTACCATAGATCATCTACAGATTCCATAACGTAATATGGCAACAGCTTGTACGTTATGGTGTTTATTTTCATTACTTACAAGGTCAAAGTTCAAACTACACGCTTCAAACCCTGGTTGGAGTTGTTGCCATTGGGACTGTTTCTCACTGGTTGTCTCTATACCGAAAGCCAATTCAGATTTCAGAATTTTTAAAGTTAAGTGCTCTTACACACTCACACACACAGATTATGGGCTAGGGAGTTAGAGAGAGGATGGGTGGGGAAAAGGGGGATGTCCAATACATGAGACTCGAAATGGGCGAGTGATCTTCACTACCAATGTAAAAGTAACTCAATTCCACATTGGTGGAGGCTCGAATCCACTTTACTCATGGACCCATGATTTAGATGAGAGGGATCTGAATCCCATTAACCAGGAAGATGGATCCCCAACTTTGAGCATCTAGATCCCTAAATTCAAGAAACGTCTGGAATTGAAGAAACGTCTGGAATTGAGATCCCTTGTCCTCGAACACAGAATCGAGCTTCCAGGGCAAGAGCGACCACCTACTTGGGAGATCCCGGTAACCATGGGAAATACATTTTTTTGGCAACACATTTTTTTGGGAAATATAGTGGTGACATATTTTGTTCAACTTGTTGGTTAAATTAAAAAAACTTCTACATTAATGAAGATAGGGAAGTTTCAAAAAAATATAAAGCATCATAAATATTTTCAATCGAACTCCTAGAAAAAGAGATATATGATTCCACATATCGCGACACATCCTAAAAGCCAAGCAAAAGTATAATAGTATCACATAGAAATCACCACATTTTATTAGGAAACCCCAAAATTCCAATCTCTAAATCTATGTACTCTGATGAAACAGGGATCTAATTCAATTCATCTAAAAATATCATTAAACCACAGAAAAAAGATTATACTTGCAACATACAAACCACCCAAACAAAAGGTGATCTATAAGCCTCCCGCTCTCTCTCCTCTGCCTATGCAACAGCTGTATACCTTGCATCCTACACTTGAAAGTCTACCATGACAAAAATTTGTCCCCAAATGGGGAATATCTTAAACCATTGATTTCGCTTTTCTTTTATAGCAAGCAAATCAGATTTTCCTGAGAAGCTTATTTATTTTTACAAAACAGAGATTTTTATTTATTTCCCAAAATATGGATTTGAAGTCAAATGGAGATAAGGAAGTTTTGTAGTTTAAGAGTTTGATTTACAACAGAATAGGAAAGTTGATTTTTAAAAAAGTTCTAAAAAAATCAATAATGCACATTTTAAATGGTTTAAGCAACGCAATTTTTCGCAATTTTTTCAATAATATGGAGTTTAAATCAAATTCAAAACACCTGAGTTCTTTCCTTTTTATTTTAATTTTTGGGAAGGACATGTTTCTAATGGGGACATGCTAACTATGTCTGCAATAGGATGGAACTCAAAAGGAAAAGCAAGGTAGCAAAAGGCTTTTAGGGAAGGTTGAAAGACCCGAGAAGTGGAGTGTGCCTCAAGTTGTGAGGAGCGCATTGAGGCCTTCCCTTGGACTATTTCAATTATTTTCTTTTATCTATTATTTTGGGGCAAATATGAGACTTGATTAATGATGCAGACTATGCAATTAGGATTTCTCGGGCTTTGAGGCTAGCCTTATGCATGATTGGAAACCAATTTTGTTTCACTGACTTTGTTGAAGAACAGATTTCTATCCATTCCAGATTTCAAATCTCACCTCCCAGGAATTAAAACTAGTCCCTCGTTAGACTAACACTAACTAATGGCTGCTAAATTGGTTTTGTTGGAATACTACCACAAAAAATGTAGATTTTAACCTTATCAAGGTTCATGTTGTGCTCCAAACATGTTATAGGGTGTTAAAATGGAAAATTAGTGACCGATCTTTGATAAGGTCTCATCATATTGTCAATAGGGAACTCATACCACTTGATACCATTTTTATCTTTTGAATGGTAATACCACTTGATTCGCACCAAAAATGAGATGGTAAGAAGAAAATTATATCACGGTAAGTCTTCCGAACTTTAATTTTATTGTGACCTGTTTCCAAATTCTGGAACCAGATTCAGCTGTTGGATCTTCTCCATATTGGTGATAGCTTCACATAGACAAGTAACCAAATTGATCTAGAGTTCGAAGAAAAAAAAAAAGTTGATTCAGTGAGGACAACAGAATGAAGCTTTCTAATATCGTTGACCTGGGAGTAAACGTCTTTTCGAATCAGTGCCTTTCGAAATAATGATAGTTTGAGAATAGGTAGTTGCAGGTGCATGAGTGCAAAAAACTTTTGACTCACTTAAATCCATGGAGATAGTGAAATCCTTACCAGTGGACGTTTCTAAATCCATAAAAACCATACTATCTCAATTCTAGTGGATATACATGAATAGGATACTCATCCTATATGTCTAGGCAATGTATATTTATGGGACTCTTAGGTGCAACCACATGTTAAAAACTGATAACAAAAAGAATGCTGGCTTTTTTGCCATTCCAGATCTTCAAAAGTGGTTTGCCATCATCATCCGGCCTTTTTCGTCTACCCCAGAAAGGCAATAGTGTAATAGACCTTCAAAAGATTTTATTTTTTTTCTGAAATTGTTAACATGACCGTCAAAAGAATATTGTGCATTAAAAAGTAAAAATTGCTACGAAACATTAGTGACTTGAATGGCCACATTAAGTTGTAAGATGCAACCCACAGGACACAACACAAGAAAAAGAGAAAGTGCCAATAGTCATGGGAAAAGTGAACCTATCTATCATATTTATGCAACTGGAGACTGGATATGAATGCTCCATCCCCTATCTTAAAAGATGCACCACAGTTTTCCACTACCATAAACATACTCAATTCAGCTGAACAATAATATTAGATGCTAATATTGTTAGATAATAGCTACATAAGACTAATCCACCGAAAAGTATAAGAGCGGGGCGTGCCTGGAAATTTTATCATTATTTTGTAATTGCTAAACCATCATGGATAACTAGTAATTGCTTACCAACTCCACCAGCAATGAAATGTGCCCAATGACCCCCCAAATTAGGATGCATTTCCTCCACCCACTTTTTTGTAGACTCGATAACACCAAAGTACGTAGCACCTGTGGCTAGTGATCCAGTCAACCCAGGAGCAATTCCCCGATAAAAGCCTGCATGAATTACAACATTAGAGCAAGAGTAGAAGAGATACTATACGTCAATAACCAATGAGCCACATAAGCATTATAGTAGGTGATATAGGCAATCGTAATCATAAGCATCTTGATAATTTCTGAAAATGAGAAGGGGCAAGATGAGAAGCCTTTTAGAAACACAGAATATAATGGGGAAAAAGGAGCATAATTACAAGGGCTTCAAGTCTACAGAGATCCTATTCCACTATGAACATATATGATTAGAAACATAGATACAATTATAAAAATCAACTGTACATGATTTCTCGTGCCTGGTAATAAATCAGACACACCTGATGTCATACATAAATGAAGTGGCAACACTGTACATATCACTATCACTAATAAGGCCTAGAATTTCCAGTCATCTTTGGAGTTAGAATGCCCAAATTATCCAATTTGGTGAATGTCTCTGTAATAGTAAAGCAAGGAAAGGTAGTTTACATGGAAAAGTAACTCTTTTTCAGGATTATAAGCAATGAATATTTATAGAAATGGAAACCTTTAAATAATTGACGCAATTAACACATTCTAAATGCAAATGATTCACCCCAGAGATACCTTTAAGACACCTAATTTTGCTGAAGCTTCGCGTGGCAACAATCTGTTGGGCCATTTGGACTGAAAGAACAGAAAGGACCTCTATGAGCTCATCTACCATTGCTTCCAGCATAGAGGAGCAGGTCAGGGCCTAAGTGATCTTCTAAGCACTAGTTAAAAAAGAATTCCGGGGCTGCTCAATCACAGATTTCCTCACACAATAGAAAACAATGGCATAGAGAGATGACAGAGATCAGATGCTTAGAAACCTTGCCTAAAGTACTGTCAAGTTAAACTTTGATAGTAATTCTACAGGAAACTCAGGTCCCTCGGGACTAGGAGGGGTCTTACGAAATCATGATGCAAAGTTCGCATCACATTCTCTGGCGCTGCTGGTGCTATTGATCCAAAGAGGCAGAGGCCATCAGCCTCCTCTCAGGAGTTCGCCTCCAAAACCAAATTGGATACCAATAATCTCTAAAGGTGATTCGTCTAATGTTCTGGCATGGGAAAAAGGTGATTCAAAGGACACGTGGAGAACAGCCCGATATTTTGATGAAATTTGGGACAGACATTAAATTATATAAAGGCAATTTTTGAGTGCACATGGAGAGAAGCAAATTGCCTAGAAGATACACAAGACAAGGCGGGAATACACGGGATAGAATTCTTTGTATCACCACCAGTTCTGTAAATCAATTTTGTGTCTCAAACTATGTTGATATCAGAGAGTTATAGGAAATCTTTTACATGAGCATACATTAATGCAATCCAAGTTACTAATCAAAATAAATAAATAAACAATTCTGTTTCAACACAATATTACATCGCACACTTTAGTAGGACAACTTGGATATAATCATAATGATTATTAACTTGGAAACAAAGAGACATTGGTTCATGAACAAATCCTAAGACCGAACATGAAGATATATTGTACACTCAAGTTACCTGTACCTCACTCATAGTTTGCTCCACATAAACATCAATCATTTTTCAAGTTTATCATATTCTAAGTTTATCATAGATGCTAATAAGTTTCAATGGTCAGCGAAATCAACCCTAGGATTCCAAAATTAGTTCTTTATTCAGCACTTGCAACAGAAAATTTAGTTTGAGCAAATTGAAAGCCATCTACCTCTTAATCCATCTGCAGTCCAAACCGTTCGCACCATCTGTAATATGCTCTTTTGGCCCTAAAAAAGTTACGAATGAAAAACAGGAAACAAATAAACAAAAATTATAATTGCGGCAGAGAAATCTACAAGTTCACAAATTCTAAGAGTATTTCAGAACAGTAGTATATAATATTTATTAAGTCAAATTAGCAAAACCATCCTAAACAGCATGTTCAGCCAGAATGAAACAACTCAATATAATGCCATTTCTTACGAGTAGTTCAAATGTAAAAAGGTGCCTAGATCTTCCAGACATGGTTAACTTTAAGGTCCTTTAACCAACTAATGCATTATATGTTGGAAATAAAAGAAATAAGCTTTATTGTATTTGATGGACAACTGTCATTTATCTTTTGTTTAGCCCTTATTTATCTTATGTCTCCAAATAAAGGCAGTAATTCCAACAATATCCTTCTTCACAAAGAGGGTATAATCAGCGTGACTTCTTCACAAAGAGGGTATAATCAGCAGTGCCTCACTGAATTTTTTAAACTATGCTCTCGGAGACTGTTTAAGTCCATATATTGTATTCTTTAACTTGCAAACCTGTCCTGTCTCCCCCTTAATCTGAAAGCCACAAGGCATGGCCATATAGATTTCTTCTTGGACGTCTCCATCTAAGAATTCATTCTTAACATCTAGCTGATGGAGTGGCCACGATTTATTTGCAGCTAGTGAAAGAATAATCCTCATAGTGTTCAACTTGACCACATGCACGAAGTGCCTTGGTAGTCTATACCGGGAGTCCGGGTGAACCTTTTGCAACCAATCTTGCTTTGTACTTTTTAATGGTACCATCAGCTTTGTATTTTATAGTGAATATCCATCGACATCTACAACAACATCTACAACCTTCTTCCCTTCAGGAAGGTTAGTGATTTCCTATGTATTATTCTGCTCAAGTACTCGCATCTCGTCACCTATAGCAGCTTTCCATTGAGGTTGTGAAAGTGCTTCTGCAATACTGAATGGTATTCTAACAAAAGACAGATCACAAAATTGTAGGATATGAAGTTTTCTATAGGGTGTTGAGTGCAAGAACTTGTATCCTTACGAATAGCAATAGGTAAGTCCAAATTAGGATTCTCTGAGAGGATGAAAGAGCAACAAGGGTCAAGAACAGTTTCTGATTCCGGGTTAGCATTCGTGGTATGGTCGCTTAGAACTTCGATTTATACCATTTTCTTCCTCCTGGTATACGTCTCCAACTCCTTCTCTGAATGTGCACTATTCCTTTCAGATAAACCACTTTCTTCATATAGAAGTGTAGGAAGGGGAACAGCTGATGTGCTCTCTTCACTAAACTATATCTTATTCTCGCCTTGAAGAGAGCACTCATGACCTCTAAAGGCGAAGTATGGAACAGATTCAAAGAAAGTGACATCCATGGAGACATAGCGGACCTTGGTAATAGGATCATAACACTTGTATCCCTTCTGATGAGACGGATACCTCAGAAAAATACATTTGGCAGCTTTAGCATCAAGCTCGTCCCTTTTTGGACCAAGGATGTGGACAAACATCCACAAAGGTACAAGGAACATGAGTGAGTTGGGATGAACAATTTCTGTGGGAGATTTTACCTCAAAAGCACAAGAGGTCATATGCGTTATATTAAAAAGACACCATTGAGAACTGCTCAAACCAGAAAATTTTTGGAATTTTCATTCCCAATAAAAGAGCTCGGGTGACTTCCAACAAGTACTTATTTTGTCTCTTAGCTATACCATTCTGCTAAGTTGTGTATGGACAAATTGTTTGGAACTCAATCCCTTGATCAAGAAGATAATCTCAAAGTTTGTTGGACATATACTCACCCCCATTGTCAGACCGCAAGACTTTAATTTGTGCATCTATTGAGTTTTAACCATTTTTTGATAAACTTGGAACTGATTAGCAACTTGATCTTTGTGTTTCATTAGATAAACAGCTGTAAATCCAAATCAATCAGTCCACAAATGTAACATAAAAACGAAATCCAAACACAGATGCAACTGTTGACGGACCCCACACATCAAAGTACATAAGAGAGAAAGGGACATCACGCGTTTTATTGACGAATAGAACATGAAGTTCTACAATGTTTTGACAACTCACAAATGTCACATTGCAATAGAATTGACCCAGAGACTCAAACAATTTACGAACTAAAGAACGCAAAGTAAAAGACAATGCATGACCAAGTAGGGTGTGCCACAAATACACCTTTTCTTTATTAGCAATTGAAGATGTGGTTGTCACAGTCAAGGCACGATCAGGAGTCTCCAAAATGTACAACCCTCAATTTTCACGACCATGCCCAAATGTCTTTCCCAACATCAAGTCCTGGAATATACAGTGAGAAGGGAAAAAGGATATATTGCAATTTAGAGTCTTTATGAGATTACTAACCGACAGGAGGTTACTAGAAAGATTAGGAATATGCAAGGTGGATGACAAGTTAACAAAAGTAGTAATATGCATGGTTGCCTTGTCCTTGATTGGAATAAAAGATCCATCTGATATTTTAACTGATTCACGACTAGAACAATGGATATAAGAGGAGAACAAATCAGCCATACCAGTCATATGTTCAGTTGCTCCAGAATCAATAACCCAAGGGGTTTTAGAGCAATTTACATAGATATGATGCGTTGATGCACATATACCTGATTGTCCAATGTGAGATTTATAGAAGGAAGAACTTAAATGGAAGTCAGCTGCTTGAGATCCAACAGCTCTCTTTTAGGAATAGTCACCAACTCTTCTTGAGGTTCAAAGGAGATGGTGTCTTGCTGCCCTTGAGCAACTGGGGTAGTACTTTCACTGATTGTTGCTGAATTTATGGAATTACTACCCTTATTGTGTATGTTGATGATAGTGTTATGATAGGGGATAATGAGTAGGGCATTAAAGATCTTAAATCTTATTTAAGCAAGGTGCTTCATGTTTGATATCAAAGATTTAGACCCCTTAAGTCATTTTTTTGGGAATTTAAGAAGCGAGATCAAAGAAAGGGATAGTCATCTCCCAGAAAAAATATGCGTTACTTGTTACAACAAATGGGGATGTTAGGATCTAGACTTGCAGATACTTTGATAGAACTCAATCATAAACTTCATGAAGAAAGGGGAGAGCTACTCAAAGATCCTAATCAGTATCAACGAATAGTGGGCAAGCTTATATATCTCACAATCACTAGACCAAACATTTCTTATGCGGTTAGCATGGTCAATCAATTTACACATGAACCACATAATCCCCCCACCTTGATGTTGTGTACAAACTACAAAAAAATAAGATATCTCAAGTTTGCACCAGGGAAAGGGATATTTTTCTCAATCAAGTACATCATGATGTTGCAGTTTACATAGATGATGATTGGGTTGGTAGTCAAACTGATAGAAGGTCCACAATTGGCTATTGTACCTTCGTTTGGGAAACCTGGTTACTTGGAAAGCAAGAAGCAAAATGTGGTCGCAAGGTCTAGTGTTGAAGCAGAATACAGGGCAATAACTCATGGTACATGAGAAGCAATGTGGATCAAAAGCGTTCTTTTTTATTTGGGTGTTAGAGTTAAGCTTCTCATCACTCTATATTGTGACAATGAAGCAGCTATTCATATCGTAGAAAATCATGTTTTTCATGAAAGGACTAAACATATTGAAGTAGAATGTCACTTTATCAGAGAGAAGGTTGCGGCCAAGATCATTCAGACTCCTCATGTGAAGTCTAAAGATCAATTTGCAGATATCTTCATCAAAGGGATTGGACGGGACAGATTACATGATATCACAAGCAAGCTAGGCATGATTGATATTTATGCACCAGCTTGTTGGGAGTGTTGGAAATAAAAGGAATAAGCATTTCTATTTGACGAATGGAACCGTCATTTAATTTTCGTTTAGTCCTTAGACATTCACTTTCCTTCTCTCTCTCTCTCTCTCT